CTGAATGAAAAACAGTTAGAAAAGTAAACAAAAATTATTTTATATGTTCAAACGCACACACACTAATACGACATAACTGTGACTGGCATCCGCTACCTTTGCTCGATAAAGTTATTTCATATTTCTGAAGACTGCAAGCATTTACTATTACTTTTTTTTTCTAACTGCACGTTTCCACCGACACTAGCGCGATGCCAAAATATTTGGCTGGAAAGAGATAGGTGCATCTATTCGAATAACAAATTACTTCATCAACTGACAGGAAACGACCTCAAGCTGCTTGAATTCTGCCAAACTCAAGCACCTATGCTACGTTGTACAAACAAGGATTAATCCGTATAATAAAGGTGTAACTTACCATTTGAGAAAGCAAAAGCATAGATGTTCGTGATAAAAATATTAATAATACAAGGAAAATAATAATTGTAAAATAAAACATTGTGGATTATGATGGACGCTTGTGGGAAATTTAATTACGAAACACCAATCAACCGTGATTTAACTGAGTAAAAATATTCTAATGCATTTGAGCATTCGAATGTAGAGCGTTAATATAATAAATTCATAGGCTGGCGAAGAAAACGCCCAAACATATGAAATTAAATCTTGCCACTCCTTTTAACATTACTTAGCATTTATAGCAATAGCTGGCTCCACTGACAACAAGATAAGACCCATTCGTTACTTATAGATAGAAGAATATTCAACACTTTTCACGATTCCCTTAAAGATAGAAATCAGGTTTAAGTTGGCCTGAATCGAGACATTTGACTTGAATATGAAGAAATTATGGAGGGAAGCGAAGAAACAAAATTTAAATAAGATAAATTTTATTGTTAATATTAATATTTTGCATTTTGTGACCTGTTTATTAATTCAGTAATTGCAAAAAACTTTTTTGTTCTCTTATTAATCTCTTTTGATAATTGTTATTTCATATAAACCCAAAAAGACCTATATTTATTTACCAGAACCATTACAAAAGAGGCAAATAAATTAACTCATTTGCAAGAAAATAACTTGTGGACAGAAGTACAAATATTTTATCAGCACAATCAGATTTTCGTTTTTAAAAAGGTTTTTCCTGGCCAAAAGCAATTAGTCGGTCATTATAAATGAAGAAGCGCTAAAATTTTTTTATCAGTTCAATTCTTTTACATCTCTAAAATCACAAGTATTTTTAAATTTTAAGTGGCCTTTTCCAACGTGCTTCGAAATGAAAACTTAAATTTTTTAAATAGATAAGTGAACATTTTATTCTATTAGTTCATAAACCTTGTTTATTAAAAACCTTGTTTTTTCTAAGATCCACTAATTTTGAAGGATTTATCTAAGCATTTTGCACTAAATGATTTAGTCTGATAATAATTGAGGTTATAATATTATTTTATAATATTTGTTAAATTATATTAAATAGGGTGAAAATATATAAATAATAGATAAAACATGCCAAAATTGTCGTTAAAAGCTGAGATGTTCAAGATTCTCGGAAAGTTTGTGAAACGGCATTAAAATTTTTCTAAGTTTGATTATTAAATTTCAATTTAAATTTGATTAATTCGACGATTTCAAATGAAACATATTTTTCACAATCTTTTAACTTTATTTGATTAACGAAAAATATATAAATAGCATTAAAGAAAATAAATTTTAACAAAAATTAAATCATTTCAAATGAATAAAAAAATATTGAAGGAATTGCTCCATTTTCTTCAAAATGAAACAAAAAGTAAATTTCTTGATTAAAAGAAATGCAAATATTTATTGTTCAAATGCTTAGCCTTGAACCTGTTATTAAAGGTGATAAACGAGTGATAAAACATCAATGGCATGGAGACCAAATCCTTTATCTTTCAGATTATCAACCCCTTTGAGAATGGCCTAGCTGTTTCGATGAAACATTCAACAATGATTTTGCTTTACTCTTCATATAACCGCTCTATATCAAATTCAGATCTATAATTTATGAAAGTGAATGGATTAGCGCGATGCAATTTTAGGAACAAGTGGGCTATAAATATTATCTCTTATGTTATCAAAGCTGTAAAAACAATTACTGAAGGGCCTTTTCAATTGGATTCGATTGATAGTCATTTTATTGACATAATAAGGACCACCTGAACTCACCTGAACTCGACGATGTTTCAACAACGCTTAATTTTTTATGAAAGCAATAAGTTAAATTTATAAATTTCACAAACAAAAAATTGTCGAAAATATTTTTATCTTACGAAAATTAAATTCAAAATCACTTTAACTTTCTTCTTTAATGCTATGATTAAATTTTGTGAGGTATAACTGAGCAACTGAGAAAATTGTTAAAATTCTCAATTGAAAGTTCTTATTGGAAAAAGAAATGGAGCCTTTTGTGCAGACTAAAAAGCTGAAACTTTTTTCTTATAAGAGAGATAAATTTTTAGTCATATTTTCGCTTTTAAATTTAATACACCAAATAAATGCAATAATTCACTTGCAAAATGAAAAGAGAGGCAAAGTAGCTAAGTGGTTGTAGATTGTTATCTCGAACATCGTTGTAATCAGAAAAATCGAGACTTTAATCGAGTAGTAGTGCTTGTGATACACCCAACTATATTCCCATCCCAAGGCTCTGGCAAAATTGCCTCATCTTACCAATTAAACTAGTTTAACCAGAAATGAGGGCACCCAATATCTTTATTGGAAAAAACATCTCTAAGATAATAATAAAATGTCGACACGCTAGCAAATGTTAAAACCATGCGCTATGCAAGATAAATGATTTCTGAGTTACAGAAAATTTGCACCTGAATTTTCTGCAAAATAAAAGCAAATATACTCAAGGTTTGGGAAATTCTTGTCAAATTTGACAAATTTTGAATAAATCCATTAAAGCAGAATAAATTTACATGATGAACTATAAAAACATCATATCTATAAAACATAATCATATCGAATTCATTGCAAATATTGCCATGATCCGCAATGTTATATTTTTATATTCATTTTTTAGATTTTAATTTATGGCAAAAGGAGGAATCGAAAAAAATAAATTTATCAATTTATTAATTTATCAATTTATCAACTTATTATCAATAAATTTATCAATACTTTCCCGATTTTATAGCTGCTATTTTTGATGCATTCCTAAAGACATACTTATAAAACTCACCCACTTCCATACTAGAATATACTATGCTAGGAAATGCGCTAGTTGGGTGTCGGAAGCAACTGTCCTACTGTTTGAAAAATCTGCCAAAGCCCGAATATCAGAAGATTCTGACTATCGGGTGCTGCGAAGAATTACAACGACAGCAGCACGGCGGGACAGAAATCGCTATTGGAGCGATAGGGAAGAATGGAGACAGATAGGTGATAATAGGAAACTATTTCCCTTCACAAAACAATTATGAGTCGGAGAACAGGCAGTGAAATGATACGGGATAGAGAGTAATGATATTAGTAGAAGGGAAGCGAAAAATTTTCCGGAGATGCCCAGTAGGCCGATGGCAATTGCCGTATCGCAGTATGTCCTGTCACCTTCCTTAGGAATTGGAAGTAGAATTGCTTTGCTCTAGTCTTCTGGTGTCATTCTTTTATCATATTAGGGAATAAATTTGTTGAAGGTGAGTTATAAATAATAGTGGACAGCATTGGGTTAGAGAGATTATTTCCACTTCTGTTGGTGGTTCCGTTGTAAACGCATGGTCCGGCGAGCAAATCAGCGATATTTGGGATAACAGATGGGACATCATGCTTAAGTTTGTCCTCAAAGAATTTTTTTATTTTATGAGAGGAGGGATCCTTAATAGGCACTCAAGAGATGCCCTTTAGCCCTTTTAAATCCAAATCAGTCCAGAGTATAACATTACAGACCTTGAATACATTGATGATTTAGCCCTTTTGAATATCTTAGATCCACTCTAATCCCAAATAGTCAGGCAAAGGATGAAATTGTAACCCAGATAACAACAGCTGGAAAGCGAAATCACATAAAGATGAAATCACATAATCACATAAAGAATTCATGCAGTAATTCTCTCGATCTAACTATATGACTGCGAGACATGGCCAGAGTGGAAGATTGGAACATTAAAAAAACTATCAGCCTTTGACCGTTTATGTCTAAGAAACATTTTATGGGTCCGTCGAGCGAATAAAATTACACTTGATTGTATCTAACTTCGCTCAAATACCACCTGTATTAATAATGTTATCACAGAGCGTCGCCTTCGCTGGTTAGATCACGTCCACTACATGACTTGACACATATATGACTACTTGCCGAACCCTGTGATAATTGGCGTCAAAAGGGTTAAACGATGGAAAAAGGAATGGGTTCTATTACTATCAAAGATAGCATGGAACATGAAAATGTCTTACCTCTGTAGACAGCCAATTATGGTGAGAGCTGTTAGAAGAATATGCATTCCTACTTCTTATCAAGGAAATTAGAACTTTGCCTTTTTGTTTTACCGATGTTAAGCAAGATTCAGATTCAAAATACAATTTTTATTCCAAAAAATCTTCATAAAAATTTGCCATAAACATTTAACGATTTAAATTGACAAAAAATAAGTTAAAAAAATAAAATTAATGAAAGAAATATGAATAAAGTGAAATTTATGCATAATAATAATAATAATAATAATATATATATATATATATATATATATATATTAAAAACAAACATTATTAAATATTATAAATATTAAATAATAATAAATATAGACATTTTAGAAATTTTGATAACCGCTTTAACAATTTGCAAACCAGATTAACAAAGTTTATTCATTTCAAAAGTTATCCAGATTTTTAATTTAAATTAAAAAAAATAGCCGTATTGCAAATAATTAATAATAAAAATAATTTTATAAAAAAGTATAATTTCTTATTATGAAACAATAACGAAACTATAAGTTGAATAAGTTGAAGTTCATAAATTAAACTGAAGTAAACATGGAAAATAAAAATCTGGCTTCATATTCACGACTTTCATCAGACACACATGATAATTACTACTATCATTCCGAAAAATGATATTTATTGCAACCGTTTGTCATGAATTTCTCAATGTCATCCGGAGTTCGTGGTACATATGTTAAAACTTCGTTACCTTTATTCCATATCACCACATTATCTTCGATTCGAACCTGAAGCAATGTTTTGGAAAATGAGTTCGAGCTTCAAAAAATTAAAAAATAAGAATCAAAAAAATTTTACCCCTCCAAAATTTCGAAAATCGTTCAAACGATTGACCACAATGAATTTTTTCAAATATGGATCAGCTAACGCTGCATTCAATAGCTGAAAATGTTTAATATTCCATTAAAAATTTCTCTATCAAAAACTCGTAAAAATACCGTATCAATAAAGTAGCATCCTGGTTCAACAGTGATAACCATCCTTTCTTGCAATGTACGAGTTGTTCTTAAACATTTTAATCCGGGAAGTGGTGATTGAGGAGTGGCATCCTGAAAACTTAAGAAATAAAACTAAATAATCCTTCAATCGGAAAGGATGAAAAAATAAATTTAAAAATATGTCAAAACAACGAAATTAAGATTTAAACTTACACCAAGATATCCTCCACAATCGTGCACGTCAAGTCCTATAAAATGACCCAATCCATGAGGCATAAAAATAGCTCCAAGACGGGCTTTAACCATTTCTTCAACATCATCTTTCAAAATCCCAGCTCTCTTCAAATGTGTTAAAATGATTCGTTCCGCCAATATGTGCAAATCAGTCCATCTTATACCTTAAAAAAAAATGAATCGAAAAATCATTCTTTACGCAAAAAGTTGTATATCGTTAAATTACGAAATTTTCAGTCATTTCTTGGGTAATTTTGAATTAACCAGGTTTGGCTGCTTTGATCACTTCACTGCTTGCATGTAAAACGGCGTTATAAATAATTTTTTGATTCTCAGTAAATTTGCCATTGGCAGGGAAAGTTGTTGTTATATCAGAAGCTGAAAAAAAGGCCATGTTAAAAACGGTAAATCTGAATCGAAGATTTTTAATAAAAGGAATGAATTTATCATAAAATCTCATCCAAATTATACTCATTTACGGATAAAATTTGAGAGAAAGAAGAAAAATCAAAAGCATTGAAAAATAATATACCGTAACAATTATATTCCGCTCCCATATCCAGCAAACACAGATCACCATCTTCAATTTGTTTATCATTTGGAGCATTGGCATGACCATAATGAAGGACTGATGAATTCGCACCACTAAAAATACGCTCATCGCTTACGAGGAAAACAAAAGGAACACTGAGCAAATCTGTGTGCGTTTAATTCAGTTCTATTCAGTTCTATAGTTTAATTCAATTTTTTTTTTTAATAAACGAAATGAAATTCGACAATTTTGATAATATGTGAAATCATAAATCTGATAAAAAATACTTACGATGCAACTATGCTTAAATATGCTAAATGACGGCAACCACCATGAAAATAGCAAGAATGTTGAAACAAACTAAAAATAAAAATATTTTTCATTATGAAGTACTTTTTTAGAAATTTACAAATTAATCAAAGTTTAATTCACTGAATCAGTAGCTAAATTAAATTAAATAGATCATAAAAGTTAACTAAATTAATAAAATAATTAAACAGATCATTAAACTATAAAAATTAAGTTTCGTAAGATAATTTGCAAGTATTCTGAACTAAACTACAACTATAAATATAATATATAGCATTAAGCAAAAATTTGTAAATGAAGGACATGAGAGCTGAGTGGGCAATGATTTAGTTTTCAACGTTATCATGTTATCATGTTCAGAGGTAAAAGTCCCGTTCCCATCCTAAGAATAAACCAAGAATCAAAAAAGTCAGACATTAAAAAATCTGGGCCATGGCGTCGGTTTACCTATGCTTCTACCACCAAATGACTCCTTAAAATTTTAACTGTGGTAAAAACAAGCGAGCCTGATTAGAAATAATGAGTGCTAACTGTTGACTAAATATTAAAATACTACAAGCTTAACGGTAAATAGAAAATGATTGAAAAAGGAAAAACCTTTCTAGCTGATATTCGTACATATTCGGCTTTACATTTAACATTGCAAATTTGTGACCTTCAGATGAAACCTAAAATTTCTCACATATTTTATCGACTGCAATTATAATTATAAGTTAATTCTTAGTAATTAAATTAAGAATTCTTTAAGCCCACAAATTTTCAATAACCATATTAAAAAAAGGATATATTAAATGTTTTTCAACAAAAAACAGGTATGAAAAACTTATCTGCAAGCTAAAAATTTAAATGAATATTTAAAATATAAACATTAAAATCGAGTTTAAAGCTTATATAAAGCTTATAATTCCAATACAAAATTCACATAAATTGGTTTAGATCAACTTATCTATTTACAGGGGCTCATATGAATAAACAAAGCAAATTGTTGTAAATTGTTCGGAGATTTAAAAGTAAAAATAAAAGTAGCAAAAATTCTTATTATTAAAAGCAAACTTTGCCAACATATCGCATCACTTCAAGTTCGTGATCTGTTTTGAACACCCGCAATTCAGTGATAATAGGATAGAGCAAATCAACATCGACAGCAAACATAAAAATATCTTCGTGTCTTAGATTTTATTGGATAACTAATTTTGAGAATTTTTTATTTTTTACGATTGATCTTTTATCTTTCAAAACTATTAAAACGACAAAAATTTGGAAATCTAAAATTATTCAAATTAAATAAATAAAAATACTCGTTAATTCCACCGAAATAAGCAGGCGATAAAGCTTTACCACTATCACTATTTTCTGCTTTCTGTAAACGTTATTTTTTATTTTACAAATTTAAATTTAAAAAAATTTAAAAAAAAATTTGATATACGAAACTTTGCCTAAAAGTGATAATAAAAGGGAGGTAAAGTGCAGCGTTGGAAGGATCACAGCTTGCATTCCATTATCTTGTACTTATAATTTGTCTACGTGATTACTATGGTTACTTTCTCGTCAGTATTGCATTTCGAGAATTGACTAGATAAACTATCGGCCACGAACTGACGTTTGTTGTTTATTGTGTTTGCAGTTATTTTCAAAAGCTTATTTTCCATTAATTATTTTTAAAAGTTCAATTATTAATTCGTATATTGAATATTAAAGCTTACTAGCAGTAACAATTTTTTCGCATTGAATTTTTTTAAAACATCTGCAATTATGCCATCGTCTGCAAAATAAACTTCATCGACTTCATATCTTTTTTGAAACCAATTTTCGGAATTTATCCTAAAATTTTAGAAGCACCTTTCCAGATGTTCGCAATTCATTTTCATTTAGACATATATGCTGATCCTGGAATGAAAGGGGAAGTTGGCTAAATCCGTTGAAATAGAAGGAAATTTGAAAATTTACTTTTGAAAAGTAAGGCTTCTATTACGGGAGAGGATACTGAAAATTTAACGCACGCCTTTTGGAGAGAAGCAAACAGCAATCGCAGAAACATAAAAATAACTTACTTGCCATGCCAAATAGCATAATCGGGATGAAGGCGAGGAGGAAAAAGGATTGATTTTCCACTATCCACCACAACTGCACCACTGAAATCGCTTTCATGGACTCCAAAAGTCCAGAAAAAATATGATTCCTAGAAAACAATTTGTTTTCTTTTCGTGCGTGTATATTCAGAAAAAGACTTGTGCCCTTGAAAACCTTGTAAGAAAGCTCTCCGTAAAAATATCTCTCCAAAGCTCCGCACTTTCTTTTGTAATGATCCAGTCGTAATCTCATTTTAAATTTCTTTTTAATATTTTAATGTCTTAAAACTCGGTATAAGTCGTTAATACCACCAGCCACCATTTTTTCCTTTAAATACCTGACCAAACTCATTTTTACCGTGAAAAGTATTACAGTTAGAAAACTCCAAAGTAAGTTGGTGGTGACTGGTGATTGAATAGCTGAATGTTGAATAAAAACTAAGAGAATTCGGTGGATTCGGCGAGTATGAAAACGATATTCGAAATAGTATTTTTAGGTAAAAAAACGAATTTTGAAGGCATATCAAAGGATAGGCTTAAAGAGAAGTTTAAAGACAATCCTCCTCGTCCGAAGGATCGGGAAGGGGGTGAGAGAGGAGGAGGAGTCTACATGGTAATTTGCCAAGTTAGTCTACCTGCACGTTCGCAAAAGCTGTTCTAGAACCGACCGCATCTCCGCCAGAGTCTCTTCAATCCCCAAAATTTTATTCAAACCAAACTACACCTGCGGTTCGTTTGCGACACCGCCAGTTAAAGCGAGCCTTATTCCACAGTTACGCCACCACTCCGCTTTTCTTTCCTTCTAATTCTTCTAATCCATTATAATAAAATAAATATAAAATATTTAATAAAATTATGGAAAAACCTGTCGAAATGATTGATTATTAGAATCCGTATTATAGCGAAAACTTTCTTTTCCGCCATCCAGAAAAATGACACTTCCTTGGCAGCTAACTTTTGACTTTACTGCTTCTACGAGACGTAAACGATTTTCGGCAAATAACTTTGCGCTTATCGACAATGTTTTATTTTGTCCACGAGACATCTTAAAATAATATTTATTATTATTACTACTATTATTATTAATGCAATGAAATTAACGAGCAATAATCGATATTAAACCCTAAAATTTCAATAATTATAATATAATAAATTATTCAAATATTATTGAAATAACTTCAAATAATTTTTAGAAATAATTGCACGAAATTTTTTTCGTAAGAAAAAGAATAGTGAAAGAGGAATGAAATTTACGAAATAACTCACCAACAATTTTATCAAAAATACAATTTTATCGAAAGAAAATGAATGATAATTTCTTTTCTTTCATTTTAACTGATAAGGAAATTTCATAAGAAAAAGCTGGTTATAATGAAAAATTTGTTGACAGTTTTGCAAAGTTTCAGGATTTTTCATTTTTTAAAATTATTTTTTAAGCAAATGAATAAAAAATACTATTCATTCCTATTTACATTTGTAAAATCATTATTCTCGCAATAAAAACATTCAGCAGTTAATAATAATTAAGCATTACAAAAGCATTTTTTTTCTGCAAAAAAACCCGTATAAAATTTTCCAGGGACGAATTTTGCTGGAAAAGCTGAAGTTTACTTGTAAAGTTGAAATGAGCCTACTTATGTGGCGAATGGTTCTCATTCAAATTTTAATGACTGCGGCAACTATAAAATCATTTGGACTCGACTGGGTTTAGCTGGGTCGGGGGTACCATTTGACAACGACTGGTTTGTTCCTTGATGGACACAGTAATGGGATTCCTGTTGTTTAATCTCGGTCGTAGCATCATACTTGACCGTCTGATTTCTTTTTCATTTCATTTTATATTTCATTTCCTTTCCTTGTATTTCTAATTTCCAATTTGGGGCCATTAGAATTGCAATTCAAATTAAATTTTCATATGTTGGCATGGATATCTTTTGGCATTTATTTAAACGTTGTGTTCTTTCGACATCCATCGATGAGGTAGATGAATAAGCAAATTTTTGGAGTGGATCATTTTTCGGTTGCTGCACTGGATATTAGAATAATATGATTAGAAATTTTTTCCAGAGGTCAACACTTGATCTTCCGATTAATTAATAATTATCGCAGACTTGGGTAATTAACATTTTGTGTTTCACAATTTGTGATGTTATTGGTTTATCATATCGCTGATATTACTGTTCACATTCATTTTTCATTATTTTTTGCTGGTTTTGGTTTTTCGACATTCTTTTTTAAATATCGCATTAATTTCTTTGATCATAAGTTTTCATCCTAAGCACATAATCTGATGCAATGCCTAACATTTTTTGGTATTTCTTCAAGGTTTTGCTGATAACTGCACGGTGAGGTAATTTTTCAGGTTTTAAATCATTAGTTTTGAAATGAAGTACTTTTAGAAAGATTAAAAATTTAAAATTTTGTATTTCTCGTTATTTTTATTTTCCTCGTTCTTTTCTTATCTTTGGCGGGAGTGGATCTCCGGGAGGATCAGCCTGTACTCCTATCTCCAATTGAGTGTGGTCCGGTTACATCGATGCAGCGTTCTTGTTGCTTAGCTTACATCCACCTTCGCGCAGATACCATCTGCATTGGCAGTGTCGTCATGGTATGCTGGTTACGGGTTCCTCGTTGCCCATCATAAGAATTGTAGTCTTTCGTTACTTGATAAACTACTGGCTGGTGATGTAGGCCTGGTCTGCTACAACCAGAAAAGATTTTGAGTATCACTGGTCCAGCTAAATGTGGGCTTAGACAATTTTTTTTATTCTCAGGTATGGCACCCAGTTGAGCTTTACATTTGTAGCCAATGGATTCAGTTTAACTCATAATGGTGTGAGCTGTTAGGAGAAGTAGTAGATACTTGTCTTTAATCATAAAGATCAAGAGCTTAAAAATAGTAACGTTTTCAGGTTATTATAACATTTAGATCAGTTAATTTTATAATTTCGGAAAATAATTTCGTTTAAAAAATAGGGAGTGAGGTCTTCAACATTATCATCCTCCACCTCTTTTATCCGATACAAAATGCAAGGGAAATATTCCTGAAATCCTGTTAATCTCTGTTCGAGGGATTAGAAAATGTGCTAATTTTTTATTATCGTCTCATAAAACATGTAATAAAAAAATTAAATTATAAATTAAATTAAATAAAAAAAATTATGGATCTGAAATGTAAAAAATAATCCCATAAGATATTGAATTTTGTTAAAATAATTTAAAAATATAAGAAAAACCTTGTAGAAATATTTACATCATTTATTTGTCCTTTACTATTCATCGATATCGTAAATTAAATAAATTCAATAAGGAGGTACAATAAAAACATTTTCTATCATCTCAGCCTTGGTAGTACCATTAACTTTAAAACAAAACTTGAATTATAAAATACAAAATTTTATATAAGTTGGACTGTACCTAGTGCTGTAACTTAAGCGTGAATTTGAATGGAACTTATTCTACTGGCTTAATTGAAATTCATCAGAATTAAGGTGAAAAGTTCTTTATCACTGCTGCTACTTACTTATTATAAATTAATGATGACGATGTTATTACTAAGTTAAAAGCTAAGATGCACTATGAAATATTAAAATATTAAAAAATTTATGGATTAAAAAAAGGTTGGTGACCTGGAATAATTTGGAATTTTTGATGCTTATTTTTAATTTGGCTGTCTTGCAATAGCTTTATTATATTTATATTTTCGTTATTTTGCGATGCGTTTGATTTTATATTACGAGACAAAAAAATTAATGAAATAATTATATTATATTTTCGTTTTAGGTAATTCATATTTACTGTACATTCATTTAAATTATGACTACTGAAGCAGTTCATTCACCAGCAACAGAAGAATCTGTTCAGCAGTTCAATTTAAAAGAGGATAATGAACTTAGATTTGAAGTATTACTTGATTTGAAGTATACTTGAATTAGTATCTTATTAAATATTAGAAAGCAAATGAATAGACGAAAACCACCTAAAAAATTTATTAATTTAGCCATTTGTTAAAAAACGTATAATTTCAGCCATTCTAATATTTATATTTTTTAGTTTTTTCGTCCTTCGTTTGGGGAAAGCTTCGCATTTTTAATTTCTTGAAAATTTTTAATGTTAGATTTTTTATTTGAAAATCCTCAAAATTCTTTGTAGCATTTCCAAATAGTTGAATCATCAGCATACATTATAGGCTTTAATATTGAAATTATAAATATAAAATACTTAGTTGCGTTTAAGGTTGCATCAAAAGGCAATGTTACGCTAGAGTTGGTGGATGGAAGTGCAGAAGTGTTTGGTACTCCACTTGTTTTACATAAGAAATACTCATTTTCACATGGTCTATAGACTTTTTAACTATTTTTGAATAATATTTAAATTTTTCATTATTTTAATCATTTTACTGTAATATGGATCATTTTTCACAGTATTAAAATTTTAAAAATATAAATAACTTTCGAGTTAATAAAAGTTAAGTTTTACCATTCGAATTTTGCTTTTGTTTTTCAGGTGCGCGAATTGCGGTATTTACTTGGAAAGATGCAGTAATAGAATTAGTGGGTGAAACGGAAAGCGCTTATATTGCAGGCGAAACTCCTATGGTAACTGGTTTTTCAGAAAAAATATTTTTTAATGGAAGCTATTTCCGAAAAAAAATAGCATAAAATTCTTCAGGTATATTGTGTTTGACAAGTTATTGCAGGTTATATATTTAAACACTCATGCTGCATTAGAGCAACTTAGAGACCATGCTGAATCAGGTTGTGCAAGTCAAAGCAAGGATCCGAGAGGTCCGATATTAATGGTTGTGGGTCCAACTGATGTTGGAAAAACTACCTTGTGTCGTATTCTTTGTAATTACGCTGTTCGCTCAGGTCGGACTACTACATTTGTTGATTTGGACATCGGGCAGGTAATATATTTTCAATATAATTTTTAGCATATTTAATTTTTAAGCCATTTTAATTATCCATTGTTTCACTGATATTTTCAAAATAACATTTAATAAAAATAAAAAATAACACAATATGGAAAGTTTATTTCAGTGTTTATTTCTTATATTTGCATCAATATCTGTATATATTTTTGAAGGGAAGTATTTCTATTCCTGGTACAATCGGCGCGCTTCCGATTGAAAAAGTGGCAGATATTGTAGAAGGTTTTGATAGACAGTATCCAGTTGTATATCATGTTAGTTTTTAGAATCACAAGTGGTCTCTTATTAATAAATATTTATTAATTTTATTCTTTACAAATAAAATCTTTATTTTTCTTTAAATCAAGCTTTTAAGTATCCTTTTTATAGTTCGGTTCCGTAACGCCATCAGCTAATATTGTTCATTACGATCTTCTCGTCAAAACTCTTGCTGAAGAAGTTTTTAAAAGAATGAATGCTCATGCAGGTGTCAAATATGGTGGAATAATTATCAATACATGTGGATGGGTTAAAGGTGAAGGGTAAGGATTTACCTTCATTTTAATAACGATGCTTCAATTTTTATTTCTAGATTCATATTCATATTCATATTTTGAAAACTTGATTTTGACCCTTATGGACTGCATTGCTTTAAACATAAGTTAAGATTTTAACTGATTTTATTTATTTTCTATTTGTTCGTAGTTAAGCATTAAATTATTATGTTTATATCTAATGGAATAAAGCTATCTTAACTTCTTTAATTCAAAAGGCACTTTAATCTACTAGGAGGTACCACTTGTGAACAAGTTAGTCTAGTCTGGGAAGAAATGGGCCTTTAAAATCTCAAATAAAACTGTATTCGATGTATCGATGCTAAAACTTACTTTGCGCCGTCTGCGCTGGTCAAGTTATGTTTATTGCAGAAATCGGCGTATACCTCGCAAAATCTCTCTTGTAGCGTAGGAACCTTGAAAGCAAAGGGGTCTAGTTCTACTCAGACAGGTACTGATTGATACGGTCAGTATATATGACCCAGAGAAAAAGCTGCTAATCTCAGGTCGCGAAATATATTCTTCTTCTTCTCACCATTACTGGTTAGACTGGCTCCAACGGCTATAAGGGTAAGACGCTTCCAAGCGGCGCGGTCTTATGCCATCGTCGACTGAAACCATTCCTTTTTCCATCGTCCAAGTCCATATATTTCTGATCCTATACGTTCATATAAAATCTTTTACGCGAAAATGTATTACGTGGTACCTAATCGAACCAGGAAATGGAGAATTTAAAAAAATTTTTTTTCCAGATATGCTTGTATTGTACATGCTGCCGAACAGTTTGAAGTAGATGTTGTGATCGTATTAGATCATGAGCGTTTGTTTATTGAATTGCAAAGAGATCTTCCTAATTTCGTTAAGGTGTACATTTATATTAATTACCTAACTGGGCTAATGAACAGCTACAATTTGCAATTAAATTGAAGAATTACGCAAAAAAGCAAAATTTGTAGAAAATTTAGTCTCAAAGAAAAGTGAATACTTGCATATAACTGTTCTGAGGATTTTTGCAGATTTTGCACCAGCCAAAATCTGGTGGCGTTGAAAACAGATCTCGCGAGATGAGGATCAGCGCTCGGAATGCTGCAGTCCATAAGGTCTTTTTTCTTTTCCCTCATTTCTTCAAAAAATGAATCTTAGTGGCTAATCATTTTTTATAAAAAATAAATTTCTTTTTAAATTCGCTGTATATATAAAAATTAAGAATTTTTTAACTGCATTTAGTATTTCTATGGTAGTCGCGCTTTACCGTATTATCCACATACTTTTGAATTATCTTTTGATGAAGTTTCAATTTGTAAAGTTGGCGCTCAACAGATTCCTGCTGAATGTTTGCCATTTGGAATGAAAATCGATGATCTTAAGACGAGAGTTTGTTTCTTCTCTTTTGTATTATCGGCATAAGCCTGGAAAAATATTTTGCAAAGTATTTTTCTTATATTTATATTTATATTTAAGTATTATTTAAGTATAAGTTATTATATATATTTATTAGTATATATTTTTCTTTAGAAACTTTTTGTAATAAGCGGTAAGCGGTCAATTTTTTTTTTATATTTTTTTTTATTTTGAAGGTAATCACTGTTGAACCGTCGGATGTTTTGACGCATCATATTGCAGCTGTGGTTAATTCTACAAAATCTGACCAATCTGTTTTGACAGCAAATGTTTTCGGATTCATTGTGATTACTTCAGTTGATTTGACACGAAAATTTTATACGGTTTTAAGTCCACAGCCTCATCCATTGCCATCGAATATTTTACTCTTAAGCGATGTTACCTTTCTGGATGATAAAGAAAGAGTTTAAAGTATTTATAAATATGTATATGTATGCATGTGTATATTTGTGAAAAATAAAATATTTATTTTGAAAATTGAAATTTGCAAGCAATTAGTGGTATAAAATCTTAAAAATTGAGTAACGAAGAAATTTAGTAATTTAATAATTTTAGTAACGGTGGGGATAAAATGGATCAGTGGGTTTCGCTCAAATTGAAGCGCCGATACTGAGGTTCTATTATCCGCAGAAGTAAACAAATTCTGTCCAAAAATTTGGACGATGCTGTCGACTCACCTTTACTTCTGTCGCCAAGCGATTCTGTGGCATGTTTTTCGAATTCGATAAGCCAGGAGAGCGGGTTTAATTAGTAATGCTGAGGTTTCTTAAAAAGAAAAATTTTAATAACGTTGATGAATTGTAAATAAGATTTCAGCATTATAATAATCGTCGGTCCGAAAATATTTATGCGAGTTTTTCTTAGAAGTTAGTGTTAGCGATAAATCGTGCACTGAAATAAATCGTGCACTCGAGACTTGTGCCTTTGCTCTTGTGCTTCTTTTGTGCACGCATTCGAAGAATCGAGTTTGAATTATCTGATAATTAAACTTAGTTGAAACAGCAAATAGTATTTAACGCGAAAATGCACAATCTGTCGGAAATGATGACGAAATATTTCTAAAACTTCGTTGTAATTTAGAAACAACGCAAATACACGTTGATGGTGCAAAACAACGGTGGAACGCGACCCTGGCAGGATTCGAACCTGCAATCTTCGGATCCGAAGTCCGACGCCTTATCCATTAGGCCACAAGGCCGTGTGGAGTCATTCTTTCACTACTCTTTATCATTGTCAAAAGCATTTAGGAAATTCTTGCAATATAAATTAAAACGAATTTTATTAAATTGAATATCATTTTAATGGTATTTAATATTAAAATGAAATTCAGGAAAAATTAAAGGGCACCGAGATGAAAAAAACGCCCGAACTGGATGATAAAGCAAAAATAAAATTAGAACAAATAAATTTTTATTTGCACGTTTATAAGTAAAATAAAAATTCAAATTTTTTAAATAAATTTTTTAAATCTTGAAAAGATTGGATAATTTCCATAAAAATGAAGAAGAATTTTCGGAAAAACAAAAATTATAGTAAGAATTTTTTGGTAGATTTATTTTGTTCGACTTTTATCAGTACATTGCTGGTTCGGTTGGCTTTAGTGACGACTTCTTCTTCTTCTAACAGTTCTCACCATTGCTGATTAGGCTGGCTCCAACAGCTACAAGGGTAAGACGCTTCCAAGCGGCGCGGTCTGATGACATCGTCGATAGTAATGAAAGCCATTCCTTTTTCCATCGTCTAAGTCCATATATTGCTGGTCCACCTCTACGTTCAAAACACCATATTAGTCCAGGTCTTGATTGGACCAACTCGCTTTTGACGCCAACCATCACACGGTTTAGCAAATAACGAAATATGCGTCAACTCCTGTGGTGAACGACGGAGAATGTGCTCTAACCAGCGAAGGCGGCACTCTATGATAACATTATTGATAAAAGTGGGACATCAACGAAGATGGATGCGATCATGTGATGTTTTATCCGCTCGACGGACCCATAAAATGTACCTTAGACAAGAGTGGTCAAAGGCAATTAACTTTTTAATATCCTTCATTCTCATTGGCCATGTCTCAGAACCATATAGCAAGATCGAACGGATCACGACTAGATGCGGACTTTCTTTTTTATGGTGATTTCACGACGACTCCATAAAGGTTTCGTTAACCGGAAGAACGCACTTCTAGCTGCCGTGATCCGAATTTCATTATCTTTTATCATCTTTATATCATCTTTTGCCTGTCCATTTGGTATTAGAGTGGTCCCAAGGCATTTGAAATCGAGGCATTTCCTCAACCGGCAATGAATTTACAAAAAGAGGCATTTTATCATCTTCACTTGCACATAAGACGAAAAGACTTTCGTTTTATTCACCAAATCCGATGCCAAGTCTGAAATCAACAGAAGCCAGTTCTTTTTTTTTAACGGTTGAGCTCGCGCATCGTTAAGCGTTCGAAAATTTCTGCGATTGGTTAAAGTTAATATTTATTTGTTGCTAACGATAAAATGTTGTATATATTATTTGTTTGAATTTTATCATGAACTAATTCTCCTTCGAAATAAAAAACTGGTGTCCATCAAGGTTGCGTCCCTTTCCCCAAGTTTCAAGTTTAAATCAATATAAATAAAATGACAGTCCTTTTATATAAAGAAGTTGATAAAATACCTATTTTTATCAATTCATTGCTGGCTGAAGAATCCAGTGCCTGACTTTAAATATCTTGGATCCACTCTAATCCCAAATGTCTAAGCGAAAGATGAAATGGTAGTTAGAAATACGTTCCTCCGCTTGACGAAGCCTTTATGGAATCGTCGCATAAAAATGAACCGTGCCCACATAGCCAAAGTTTGCTCAATTTTGCTGTATGGCTGCGAGGCTTGTCCCATGAGAGTAGAGGATATTAAGAAGCTATTTACCTTTAAACACTCATCTAAAATATTTTACGACCGCTAAATAAACTAATAAAATCTCACAGTTACATCCACCTTCGTTTAAATACCAGCTGCATTAATATTACCATCACAAAGTGTAGCCTTCACTGATTAGGGTATATTCTTCGTCGCCCACTACAGGAGTTGACGCCTATTTCACTATTTGTTAAACTCTGTGATGGAGTCAAGAGCGAGGAGCGAGGTGGTTCAATCAAGACCTGGACTGATGCAGTCATGAAAGATTTTGAACATACAGGAGGACCAGTGATATATGGACTTAGACGATGGAAAAAGGAATGGTTTCTATTACTATCAAAGATGGCATGCAGCATGGAAACGTCTTACCTCTGTGCGGATTACCAGTGGATCAAAAATGGTGAGAGCTGTTCGAAGAAGAAGAATTTTATTTGTTTCTGGTTTTTTGATTTAAATATTCAAAAGTTTTAGAAACAAAACATTCAATTCAAAAAATTCAGATAATATAAAACATAAAATCCTCTCTTTTTGTCTACGATTAGCTCAGTTTTTTATGAATAAAATAAATAGCTGTGAAACTTTTACAATTAAAATGATGCTGACTTACTTGCACTTCTACCGCCCAGTGATTTTTTGATAAAAAAATTTCTAACTGCTGGCTAGCAGCAAAGCTAACTTAACCAGATATGTTAGATATGACCACTTACTTTTTGTTATACTCAGGAGGAACGAGAAGATAAAAAAAAATGCAAAAATATGGCTGTTGAAAAAAATAAATATTCTTTCCATATAAATAAATAATCCATATAAAATATGTCGCGATGTTTAACAAGCGACATTTTGTAGGACTGGTACCATTGAAGTTATTTGATAGTAATAGTTTAACAATAAACTTCAATATAGGAAGAAATAAATGGAAAACATTTTATAAACATTTAAAAATAAATAAAAAATAAAAATATTGGCAACTTTATTGTAAAATATATAGAATATGATTTCTTTTTCTAACAGTCCTCACAATTACTGGTTAAACTCGCTCCGCTGGTTTGTCGCACTGGACAGATATGCTAGTGAGTCCTTTGGCGATAGAAATACAGGCGGGCACAGATGGTAGTATCACAGATTTATGGACATGCTGAAACTAAAACCTCAACAACGTAGGCGCTCCGAATTGAGCAACAACCCACCGAGTTGAGCGTGTGGTATATATAGGCTGGTATTTTCAAGCCACATGCTTCCTTATGGGTTAATTATTCATTATATTAACCACCGGCTACCGAACAGCTACCGAACCTGAACTACCATTAACCGTAAATTACCAGAAGAAGGATTTAGCTTTATCTTTGCATAAGAATATAAACCATGTCAATGTCTCCAATTTCTTGATCAAATTTTTAAAAATATAGTAGAAATTGAAAAAGCAAAAGTTATAAAGTTCGGAGAACAAAAGGATGCACAAGAAAAGAACAACTATAATAATTATATGAATATGATCAGTAAAATAAAAATAAAACTGATAAGCAGTTAAAAATTAATAGTAAATTAATCCGAGTGGTACTAGAGGCTTCTTCTCATCTCCAGACAACAAACTTATGCTTAAAAGATAAAGCAAGCCAAACCAAAAGCAGTGAATTCCGCCAGAAGAATAAGCATAAGGCAAACAAAGCCTGAAATATGTGACAAGCATAGTAAAAGATTGCAAGAGCAGTCAGAACCATTCACAAAAATCAAAAATAGTGATGAATATACTTTGACCACAAAAAACTAAAAAATTAATGATTTATTTATTTTATGGATTGCCAAAGTTGAACAAGGGAGTTCTTCGTTTTCATTTTTGTATTCTTGTATTTTTCCTTGTTGTTACATTGTAATGTTATTTATTTTTATCCACTCAACAAACACTTTTGACATAGTTGATTTTTGAGGAAATATATCCTTCTAAATGAATGAATTCTAAAAATTTAAATCTTTTTAATTGTTCTCGTGATTTGAATCTGAGCGGCCTTGTTATATGGACAGTAAAAAAACTGCGATGAATACAGGGGAAAATAAGTCGGTGAGCATTATAAAACCTCCAAAATAGACTTTTTGCTCACAGTTTAATGTAACTGTAACGATGTAATGTTTAGTTTAACTTTAATTATAAAAATATTCCATGAGACCTAAATTAAATTAAATCTCACAGTATTACATTAAAGTAATGGGATGGAAATGGTGACATTTGCGACGTTTTAATTAAGAAACGATTTTCGATTATTTTTGGTTGATAAAGGTTGTGATGAAAGTTATTACATTGCTTTTGCAAAAATATGAATGCCGCACTGATATAATAGTCTAAATAATTACGTACCATCAAGATGAAAAAAGGTCCGTTATAATCACTTCAGACTGAACATCTTTTGATATATAATATTTGTATAAATATATAAATATGAGTAACAATTTCTATTTAATAAGCTTCAATGAATTGTTTTGTTTTAACCATTTATTGCACTTTTTACTGG